TCTGAGACATAGCTCAGAGGGATCAGAGAGGTCTTGTCCATTGGCTGAAGCATTACTATTATTCTGTGTCTACTACATTGTCCAAACCTCATAGCTCTTCTGCTCAGATGTACTGCAGTTAAACACTCATTTTGGTCTGAAATCAACCCCTGGAACTAGAACAATAACTAATAACACTCTCCCAGAGCGGCCCCTTGCATCCTTTTTACACATTAAGGTGATGGCTAGGGAAGGCTGGAGAGTCTCTTCCCAAAGCTCTGAGTCTGATCAGAAGATCAAATGAGTTTGGAGAGATTCTGGCCAATGTTTTTCATTACTCTTCAAATTGTAGAGAAGGCCTTACTTTCCAATGATCAGATTTTAGAACAAAACTATTGTTTTCTTAAGGACATATTACATTTTCCTAGAGACTTTGAGCATATTAATTTTTAGAAATCACCTTTCTGGGAAACAGCTTCTACATCCTGAGCGCTAAGTGAGTCACCCTGTGTGAAATCACACTGCTGCTCCTTCAGTGGCTGTTCACTGAGCAAGAAAAACAGTCACGGTAACACTGCACAACAGCTCTGCTTCTGCTTCGGTCTAGCATAGAATGCTTAAGAGATGGATCTTATGAAATGAATTCAAATGGACCCGACACATTTGAAAAAGGCTTGACACATTTGAAAACTGTCTAAAGCGTGGCTATTGGATGAGTCATGCCAGGCAGCCAATCGGAGAGAGACTGAGGTCTGCACGCCTCGTCATATCCTGATTCCTAATCAGTGTTCTGGACAAGGGAGGAAATGAAACCCTGCCGTGCTACTGAGGCAGGATGCGCTGGCAGCAGGGAGCAGGGGTTGATTAGCTGTCTGGAAAGAACATTATTAGATAATGTTCAGTTTGGCAAAAGTAAGCTAATATCTCTGGGAGATGTTAAGTCCATGGATCAAAGGAGAGCATGGGAGTAGAAATGCTGTAAAGAAGCAAATTAAAATCTGATGCTTTGAGGGGCCAGGGAGATGGCTCAATAGTATAAGCGTTTGCCTGCCAAGTGCAAGGGCCTGAGTTCAATTCCCAGTTCTGAAAAAAGAAGAAGAAGAAGAAGAAGAAGAAGAAGAAGAAGAAGAAGAAGAAGAAGAAGAAGAAGAAGAAGAAGAAGAAGAAGAGGAGGAAGAAAAAAAATCTGGTGCTTTGGTGGACAAAGGGAATTACGTGGTGAAGCTGATGCTCATCCTGTCCCATGGCTCTGGCCCTTATCCTTCATGCCTGGATTAAAGTCACTGGATTCTGGCTCGCTTCCTTCCCAGATATAGGCATTTATCTCTGAGCCAGGTCAACCTGAGGAAAGTCATAGCTCAGTCCTAAGCTGTGTTCTTTTCCTATGTCTGCCTCTGCTCAACTGGGGATTTAAACTGTTGCTTGACTTTAAGTACTAGGTAAAGGCCAACAGCCTGCAGTTTATGTCATTGGTTTAGGCCATTTCTCTGATCTCTGTGAGAGTGCTTCAATGTGTATTACCATGTCAAGATGCATCTCAAACTTAGCACATCCAAATTGAAATCCTGAACTCTAATCACAGACCTGCTCCACTTGACCTTCCAAAATTTTCAAGGGAAAACTCTTGAAAGCATCTTTATTGCCTCTTTCTTCATACCTAACCAGCCAATTGTACTGCCTACAGTATTAATCAGTTTTCTGTTGCTATAACAAAATACTGCCTTTTAAGTAAAAAATAACAGCTAAGAATTCTTTTCAAGAATATTGTTAAATGAACAAAAATTTGCAAAGGAAGAGCTGGCCAGAGAGCTCAGTGGATTTAAGTGCCTGCTTAGGCAGACTCAGGGATGGGGTTTGATCCCTGGCCTGCCATACCAGCCCCACCCGTGGGGTGGGCTGAGTGGCAAATGACACTGGGTGTGGTGGTGTGTGCCTGTAATCCCATTCCTTGGGAGGCTGAAAACAGGAGGATCACTAAAAGTCTGATCTGTGTAGTGAGACCCTGTACTAAATACATTTTTAAAAAAGAAAGAAATTTCAGGGCTGGCCAGAGAGTTCAGCAGATTAAAGCACCTGCTTAGGAAGATGCAAAGGTCAGGGGTTCGATCGCCAGCCTGCCATTCCAGCCCTGCCCCTGGGGAGTGCTGAGACTGGGCGTGGTGGTGTGCCTTCCTAGTACTTGGGAAGCAGATAAACAGGATCCCTACAACTCCGATCTGTGTAGTGAGACCCTGTAGATCCTGTACTAAATATGTAAAAAAATTGCAAAACAATATATAGGTATTGGCAAAAGACCGTAGGTAGTATATGTGTGTATGTACTGTAGGAAGTTTTGGAAAGACTCAAGATTCTTTGAGTGACCACTACCTTTAGGATAGGTAAGGGAGGGACATTGCACTTTTCCTACTGGCCATATGTCTATTTTTTACTTCTGTCGTGTGTCCTACTCCAATGATCAGTTATCACTTGTTTGAGAAATTCACAAATTGCTTCCTCTATCACTAGACAATAGTTGTGTTTGGGGTCTGTTGTTTGAGAAACTATCCACCGAAGAGAAGCTACTACTAATCCACTAATGATTATTGGTAAATTTACATTTAATAATGTGTCTATCAAGATTTGAAAAGTTATAAAGAAACATGTTAACCAGTCTTGAGGAGAGTGCTGCACACTGAAGCCCCAGGGGGTGTCTTGCCCGAGGAGGACCTACCAGTCACAAAGCTTTAAGGAGTTGGTCAGTAAGACATTGCACTCCATTTCTGGGAACACTTACAGCACTTTCTTCAGACAAATTTCCCATTGTTGAGACACAATACTTGACACCCACAACTTAAAAGAGGAAAGGCGTCATCTAGCTCATGATTTTAGGGGATGCAATCCCTGGTCATGAAGCTCCATGGCAGGAACTTCACGGAGGGAGGAAGTGGTAGAACAGGGATGCTTCATTCAGCGTGGGTGGGAATGAGGGCCAGGAGCAGCCCCAGAGAGAGGGGCCAGGGACGGCACAGACCTAAGGCTACACCTTCGTGGCCTGTCCACTCACACCCAGAAGTGCGCACCTCCAAACCCCAGGGAGCTCCCAGACTGATCAAATCGGTGCAGTTGAGCTCACCTGTCATGGCGCCTACTTACAATTCTTACTGGAAAGGTGAGATCTGAGCATGAGTCAGGAAGCAGCAGCAGAGATGACAGTGGTGGGTGGGGGCCTCATCGCCTTGTAGCAGCCACCCAGCCAGAGGAGCCCAACTCCTAAGTGTCACAGCTCTTCAGGAATGAGTCCATGCCAAGAGGAGGGAAAGCTCTAAGGCCTCTGTTTCTTTTAATCCGACAAATTTTGGGTGGCTACCACAAGGTATCTGTTGCCTCGGGCACTTGGAATGCATTATAGACAAAGCAAAGATCTATCTGGCACTTAGCAACATTTCATCTGCATCCTGTCTGTGACCCTGGCCTTGGCAATATGCCTTTCTGCTCCAGTCCTCAGCTGCCCAGTGGGAGAAGAGGTAGGCTTGTTGGTAAGGCACCTGATGAACTGTAGGTGCCAATGGAACACCTACCCCAACCCCACACAGGCAGTAGGTGGGACTGGGTGTAGTGTTTCTGTTCAAGGGACGCAACTGGACATGTGATATGTGCAAATGTCTAAAAATGTGACCTGTGTTTTAAGAGATTTTCTAATGTACATATTTGGTGTAAGTGTTGGAGGAGAACAGGTTTTCATATTCACTTTAAGTATAAACTGATTTAGAGAGGGGGAAAGAAGACAAGTATATTTTTAAGGCAAAAATCTGTTAGATATATTTTCAGATTATTTTGCTGCCTTTCTCCTGTGAAGCCTCCTTATATAGATATGCTTAGGGATATTCTGTAGTTTTAAAGTGCTGTGACGTCACCCAATTCACTCACATTCCAACTCAGCTATGAAAATAAGTTCATCTCCTTGATCTAGCCTGAAGCAATCTGGGTTTCCCGATTTGTGATTAGCACAGACATTTTTAACTTTGAGTACAGTCTTGTATAAGCAGGGTCTGAGCTAACAGTGCAGTCAGGCTCTTTGGACAATGTTGTTTCTCCATGGGGAGGAGAAGCTGAGCTCAGCTCGTCCCTTGCCTCCAGGGAGCATGTGAACTTCCTTCTTTACACTCCTGGGAGTACTATAGGATGAGCTCCTAAACTTTATTGTTGATATGTGATGTGGGGGCTATAAAATAATTCAGAAAGCTCCAAGGCAAAGCGAAATCCAAGACTCCAAGCCTATAATTGGTATGCAAAATCCTATTATACCTGTCAGAAAATGGCAGTTACTTCTGCCAAACCTTGGTGGCGTTCCTTCCAAGGTAATGGTAGAGGGTTTTTTTGTTTGTTTGTTTGTTTGTTTTTTTTTTTGTTTTGTTTTGTTTTTTTTGGGGGGGAAGGGTCTGCAAGGTGCTTAGGGTCTCACTACTAGATCAGACTCATAGTGATCCACCTGTTTACAGCCTCCCAAGTGCTGGGGTTATAGGTATGTGCCACCATGTCCAGTCTCAATTGCCTTCTCAGCATGCCCTGTGAACGGGGCTGGCACAGCAGGCCTGGGGATCAAACCCCTGGCCCCTGTGCCTGCTTGCAGGTGCTTTAATGCACTGAGCTATTTGGCTGGCCCTGTTAATGGTAGAGTTGTGCTGCTTGCTTTTTTTTTTTTTTTTTTTTTTCTGCCTCTTTGAAGTGAGGTGTGGCCAACTACTTGCCTGGGATGGTGCATTTTGACCACCAAGTATTTGTTCCCAGCCAATTCTGGATTCTCATCTAACATGAGCAAGAGATGATCTTATGCTGTGCTAAGCCATGGGGTTTAGGGGTCTTAGTTATTATGATCATCTTAACACAGAAGCTAAGATGCAGTTCATTTTACAGAAAGTGCTAATTTCCAGTTAAGGCAAATGTGTAATTAGAAGGGAAACAATAAAGACGTCCTTTTGTAACTTTCAGAATGAGTTTCTGTTTAAATATTTCTTGCCACCACTTTCCTTTCTGCATTGCAGATGAAAATCTTTGACAAAAATAAGGATGGTCGGTTGGATCTCAATGACCTGGCAAGGTGAGCGGCAAGGAAATCGCGGATCTGGAAACATCTTTCTCAAGGTTTGATTGTAAAAGCTGTGCCCTTTCAAGCCGGAGATCAAATCTCCCCTGGAGTCCCAAAAGCTAGGTATATCTTACCAGGTAAACTGCGATGGTCCTGAGTCTTTTGGGCTAACAGATTCCTTTGTGAAAATGAAATCTTTTGCCCCCCAAATACACAGTGCACAAAATTATCCTGGTTTCATGGTTGGGTCACAAGCAGATTCTGCCCTCCAGTGCCAGACAGTCCCAGGCTCACATCAGGATCCCGTGATAAAACACATCAAGGCTCTAATTCCCTAGCTTCAGGAACACCGAGCAGTTAGTTCAGAACAAAAGTGCAGCTGAGTCTGGCTCCAGCTCAGTGCTCTGTGGCCTCTCAGCACTGAAGAGGGCATCAGGTACCAAAGAGCAGTGGAGAAGGAAGAGGAGGAGATGGTAAGAGCCAACGAGGCCCAGCAAAAATGCTTCTGGGAGTCTGGTGTGAGACATGATTGGATATCACCTTGTGTGTCAGTCCACTTTTTGTTGCTATAATAAAATACCAAGGGGAGACTCCCTTATAAAGCAAAAAAAGAGTTATTTAGCTCGCGGTATTGGAGAACAAAAACCACATAGCATGGCACAAGTCCTGGCAAGGGGCCCTTTGGCTGTTCCACATCATGCCTAATCCTTGTGTCTGTCTCCTTACTATAAAGCCACCAGGATTCAACACGGGGTCTTATCAAATCCAATCACTTGCCAAAGGCACTGCCTCTAAACCATGCAGCTGAATTAAGATTCTACCCTCTTAATTCTCTTAATATAGATTTTGAAATTAAGCTCCTTTCTGAGTTGCGGGTGGTTGAGCTGAGGGGCAGCTTGATTTCAACCATTGCTGCATTCTTGTCGAGACTGACTGGTCCCAAACACCATGCAGGTATTTTCCGGGAAGGAAAAGTCTGAGCAGGTGTTCATATTTGGACTCAGCAGCCCCAAGCTCGTGGATGTAACTGCAGCTCAGTGGGAGAGCAATTGTGAATCCAGGTGCCCCAGATTGGGCTAGGTTACAACTGTGCCTTGGATGGTGACTGGACTTGGGGTGGTGGCAGGTGCAGCAAAGGAGGGAACTGCAAGGACCAAGAGCACGCTTTCAGTGACAAGGAGTTAGCGTGACCATGTCACAGCAGGTACAAGTTCTGTCTAGAAGCAAATGCTGCCTGCACTGGCTGAGTGTTTCTTGGCAGCTATGGATGCCAGGTGTTGAGGGGTATGTGTGAAGAAGGGCACCCTAGGAAGATTCATTCTTTACTAACGATCATGACATGGATGACATCCCACAGATGGACCTGTGGCCACAAATCATAGGAGCTATGAGGCAGCTGGTGTGTCCACCACAGCCACTTTTCCCAGGATTTGATCTTGGCTACTCTAATGATGAAGAGACTAGCTATAAGGAGATGAAAGCGCCTCTCCTAGAGGCTGCCTGTGAAAACCTTTCTCTATGAGTCTGTTTTTGTGATGAAGGAGCTCCTATATTAGAGCAGCTACGCTGTTCTTCAGGGCAATCGGGAAGCTACCCGCTCTTCCCTCATGGGCTGCAAATTCACTTGTAAGCAAGAACTGATAGAGCATCATGTGGATTTGACTTATTCTTTTCCTATTTAGGATTCTGGCTCTTCAGGAAAACTTCCTTCTCCAATTTAAAATGGATGTAAGTAGTGGCATTCTTCATGGGTTTGTATCATTTTGGTTTCTCTGTGGATTTGGGAAGGAGGGAAGAAAGGAAGACCGCCCTGTCTTTCTCATAACTAAGTTAGAGGCTGGTAAGGTTCAGAATGGAACCAGGCGTCTAAAGGGTCATTCGCGCAGTTTGTAAAGGCTGCCTGATCCCTTGGAAGAACTGCACAGAGCTGGACTGACGGAATGTGTTCTCCTTGCCCAGGCCAGTTCTGCTGATGAGAGGAAGAGGGACTTTGAGAAGATCTTCGCCCACTATGATATTGTGAGTGTGTCTCCGCACTGTGTCACGCAGACAGGCTTTGCCCCCGGGTAGGGTCCTCTACTCACAAATGGGCAGTCTCACATAGGTGTTGCTAGGCCAGGCCACCCTCGACTTCTCCAGATAATGTCTGAGAGCTAAGTGAAAATGAACAAAGACATATTTATATTTGAAAGGAAAAAACACACACAATTTTTTTTCTCTTATTGTATTGCAACTAAGAAAAAGTTTCTCCTTCCTATAGAACTAAAACCCATTTATTATAGCACTATACACAAACACAAAACAAAACATCTTTACATCCAACTCAGACAAATAGAGGCAAGGCCATACTTACTTGACACAATGATAAAAATATTTCTCTGTAGATCAGCTATTCAGGCATTAGTTAGAGGAGAGAGAATAGTAATTATAAAGCATCTAATAGGACAGAGAGATCGCATTTCTTGAGAACAAGGTAAGATAATGCAATGAGAAAGAAAAACCAAGCAGAAAGTTAGGAAAGAACCTAAGAAACAGTGGCCTGGAGTTGATCAGACGACACCCCTGTGTCCTGTTCTGCGCAGAGAAGTGTCTCACCTGGGAAAGGCAGCACAGTGCACTGGCTCTGTGACCAACAACCCAGCTTAGCATTGTGGCTACCAGCCAGGTGACCTGGTAGATCCTGCATCTCTGTAGTGTCCCTTGCTTTATTTTCTCTATCTGTAAAATCAAAATGAGAAAGATAGCTGAATAGCTAGCTGCTTAATGGAATTGTGCTAAGATTATAATTTATAAATTATAATCTTAATTTATAATATAATTAAGATTGCAATAAGCATACAATCTTTTATACGTTTATAAAATTTTACAAGAGTGCTTGGCTTATATTAAGTACTATACAAGTGTTCGTTATATAAGCTATGAGAACAGAATTTTTAAATAATGTGCTAAATGTGAAAAGAAACAGTTTTATTCATATCATTATTAAAATATACTTAGCATGCAAAATGATATGCTAAAGGTTCAATATGAAGAAAATAAATACATTTAGAGAAGAGACCACAATTTATTATGTATTAAATTTTGTAGACTTTTGTGTTTGAATGGAATATAAAATAAGTAGAAAAAAATAAAGGGCTTTGTATACAGCCTAAAGATGATTCTACTGTAGTTCCAATGTAGTCTCTCTTGATTTAAAGTCTACTTTTAATAATCACTAATCATTTACTAAGTCATAAAAATAATTTAAACATATTAATCTCAGGCTGGGGTGATAGTTCAATGGAATAAGTGCGTGCCTGGCAAGTGCAGGGTCCTGAGTTCAATCCCTGGTATCACATACACACAAAAAAAAATATTAATCTCTTCTTCAAAGAGTCAGTATAATGCACAACGATCAACATACCTTAATGGAAGTGTGAGATTAGGGAAGCAAAGTCAGCGTTTGTCATATTAATGCTGTTTTCCAGAGCCAAGCAATTCATAACTACTGTTTCTCACTTAATCACATGGAATTACTTACAATTAATCCTTCGAATTGGTGCAGAAAATTCACATTCTGCATGGGGACCTACATTGGAGTGTGCCTTTCGAAGTCAGTGTGCAGTTATGAAGAACACTGATTTGGTGGATTTGCCTCAAAAATGACATTGTGGTGAATGGATCTTTTTACCTTTCAGAGCAAAACTGGAGCCCTAGAAGGCCCAGAAGTGGATGGCTTTGTCAAAGACATGATGGAGCTGGTCCAGGTGATTTCTGGGGCTGAGCAGATTTCCACCATGGGCTGGGGTCACTGTTTCAATGGATTCCATTTGTTATTTGTGGGAAGCAGTGAGGCTGCAGGCTAATGCCAGAGAAAAATGCTAGAATGTGGTCAGTGTAAGACCTCTGAGATTTCGTGCAACCCAGCAAATCTCCCTTGCTTCTGTAAGACTGAGTTTGAATCACAAAGTCATTAGAGAAGCAGGTTTTTATCATCATTGAAAAGTCACTTCCAAAAAAAAAAAAAAAAAATCACTTCCTTCACCAAAGGGTGTGGTGCCACTTTACATCTTACTGTTTTATTTTTCAATTCCAGAAAGTCTTTTCTATCCTGATTTGGATATGAGAATACTCAAAATTATAAATTTAATTTTATGAAACAAATCTCATATTTGAGGTTCTTTTCACTAGGGGCTTCCTCAGCACCTCCCAGAGGATACTCACAATGTTACCACAGTTGGGAGTCAGTGATGCAGCTTCAGATGCATTTGTATCACATAGCTGTTTTACGTTGGGGAGACAGTGTTTTAAAAAGACATCTCCTGGGCTGGTGAGATGGCTCAGTGGTCTAAAGCACCTACTTAGAACAAGCTTAGCAAAGCACAGGGACCGCGGTTCAATCCCCCAGCACCACATGCCAGCCAGCCCCGCCCCCTGGTGGGCTGAGCTGGCCACACACACACACACACACACACACACACACACACACACAAATAAATAAAATAAAAAAATAAAAAAAAAGACATCTCCTGAGTTGTATGGACCAGGTACACATTCTGGTCTGGAAATCAAACATAATTTCCAACTCTTCTTGTGCCATGGGGGTCTGTATATACGAGTTTAATATCTTGCACAGTTTGTTTGTGCCCTAGTCTGCCCAGACAACAAATTAGAGTAGCAGGGCTGGTGAGATGGCTCAGTGGTCTAAAGCACCTTCTTAGAACAAGCTAAGCTAAGCAAAGCACAGGGACCGCGGTTCAATCCCCCAGCACCACATACCAGCCAGCCCCGCCCCCTGGTGGGCTGAGCTGGCCACACACAAACAAAATAAATAAATAAATAAACAAACAAATAAATTAAAAAAAATTAGAGTAGCAGTTATGCAGTGTTTTGAGTTTCTAAATTTTTTGCAAATCTGATTGAAATTATGTAGCCATGCCACAGAACAATGTTCAGATATCAATTTTTATTTTGCATGAATCCCCAGGAAGTTCACATGCCATATATGAGGAAACACAAACAAAACTCTCCCGGAACGCCCATCTTGTCCCATTCCCATCTTAACTGTGCCCTTGATTTGGCTTCTCACCTTAATTGTTGCTCCTGTTGGGGATGCCACAGCCTTTGGCAAAGCCAGAATAACTGATGGATATTTGTGTAGTGCTTCCTTTTGCACTGATTTCTAACAAAAATCCCATTTTAGTCATTGTCTATTTAATGCCAGAATGACTTTTGTAATAGGAAGTGAGTGGTTATCTGAGGGGATATTAAATATCATGGCAGAAGGGTTGCCGAACTGCAGTTAATTTGGTTTAAATGCAGTGAGTGGGCTGGGGAGGCTGCTTAGGAGAGCCGCCTGGCCTCCTCTGCCCACCAGAGCTGGCCCCGAATAGTTTAGCATAAGTCTGAGGCTTTCAGATGTCTGCAGACACCAGGCAGAGGACTGTCCTCTGGTGCTTCCCCATGTTCTTCGTGCCTAGCTGAGCAGCCAGGGCAGCTCAGAATCGTAGTGATCCTCCTGATGAGCAGTGAGCCAGATGAGCAGTCAGCCATTAATGGCTCCTCCTTCATGATACCTTTTCTGAGGTTCTATCTCCAGTCATTAAATAAATTTTTCTCTACCTGAGATGCTATTATTTCTGACAAACTTTCCCGGCATCCCCTCTGCCAGGCTATGGAAAGCAGCTGGCCAGCTAATCAACTGAGCTGTGGCTGAACTGAAATCTGTCAGAGACACAGAATTGGGAACAGAGGCTTCTAAGGGCCTGTTATGGTGGCCATGTCCGAGCCTCCTTTCCTCACCCACTGTTCTTTGCTTTTCTTCCTTTTCCATGAAAAAAATGGACTAGAGATAGCAGAACTGAACTTAATTCTGGATCAAGTTCTTTAACCTGTCTAGAACTTGAAACTTTGACCATAAACAAGGCACAGTGTGCTGGGGAGATAGCTCTGTGTTCTAAGTGTCTGCCTGGCAAGAACAAAGACCTGAGCTTGATCCCCAGTACCACATGCCCTGCCAGCCTCAGAACCCTGGGCTCTCCTTGCCAGCCACTGAGACTGGGCCTGGTGGCATACATCTGAAATCCGAGCACAGGGGAAGCTAAGACAGGAGGATCACTATGATTCTGAGCTGTGTAGTGAGACCCTGCACACAAAACACCCTGTACACAAGAAGTATGCAATTCTTGTGGATTGAAGTAAGAGGTGGTAAATTCTATAGCAAGATAGGGTAACCATAGCTCACAAAAACCTATCACATATTTTATGAATAACTACAGGAGAGGACCTCAAGGGCTCTAAGCACAAAGTAATAATAAGGAGATGGAAATGATAATTTGCCTGATTTACTCACTGTGCATTGTACACATGTGGAAATCTCACACAGCACCTCATCAATACGTATAGTGATTACATGTTAATCAAATGATTTCTGGAGATGTTTATGGAGATGGAATTGCTCACCACCCAATACGCACAGCACGTACATGCTGATCAGAGCTCTCCGAAGGATCCAAACCAATAGAACACATACAAGTATCAAAAGGGACTGATTAGATTGCCTAACCTGATCAGAGGTCGAATAGTCCCACCATGGCCAGGGATCTGGGAAAGCTGTTGGCTGTCCTGTCCAGGAAGCCTGAAGCCTCAAAACAAGAAGAATCAATGATGCATCCCTCAGTCATGAGGGCCTGGAAGGCTCCTGCAGAGTTGTAGGTGTGAGGCTGTGCCCAACGGACAAAGAATGTGGAGCCTGCTCTGCACTTGTGGCAGCATCAGCAAAAACTTTCTTGCTGAAGTTCATTTCTCAGTTTGAGAATAGATTAGAGAGGAAAGAGCCAGCAGCTCAATGCACACCTCTGCCATTCTAGCACCTAATCCTTTCTAAAATGATAATATAAAGACATGCCCCCCCAAAAAAAAGAGCTCAAATACTCTGGTTTCTCTTCAGATCATATAAATCTTACGCCTTTTACAATAAACGGGCTCGTAAGAGATAGACATGCTTGTGTCAGATGGTGCTGAGCTCACCTACATAAGAAGCCCTTGTCTGATTGATTTATTGATTGATTATATATTTGGTACAGGGTCTCACTATGCAACTTGTATTCGTAGTGATCTTCCTGTTTTCAGCCTCCCCAGCACTGGGATTATAGGCATGTGCCACCATGCCCAGTCTCTAGTGACCGGCTCAGTGTGCCTGGGGGCAGGGCTGGCACAGCATGTGGTACTGGGGATTGAACCCCAATCACTGCGCTTGCCTAAGCAGGTGCTTAGTCCACTGAGCTATCTCACCAGCCCTAAAAGCCCTTGTTCTAAAAATATTTGCTTTCTTTTATGATTATAAAAGTAGTACTACATTATAGAAAAGTACTGAAAACTAATGAAAACAGAAGTTACAAAGCTAAGGAGAACTTAGATTAAGAATCCAGGTTTTAGATTTACCACTCTGAAGTCTAGGCTTGGATTTACCACCAAGAAGCACTGTAAGCCTAGATGAGTCATTTAGCATTTTCAGTTTGTTGCCCTGGAGGATGGGAATCGTCATAAATCTCATTGCCATTAAGATATCAGGAGGATTTTAGGATACCATCTTCATACATCCCTTAATATTGCACTACTTCACCCATAATAAGTTATTACCAAGAGTTCAATAAATATTAGAGATTATATCACAAATTAGTCAGTAAACTCATGTCCCTGAGTTCATTACCCAGGACCTAAATAAATAAATAAAAGCTCAGATATCTATATCCTGTATAATTTTCCTTTAGAAATCATCATTTTTGAATCTGGTTAACCTTAATCATTTTTCAATAAACGTGCCTTTCAGTTTTCTCTGAGTTTGGCAAAAATCTCCAAAGTTGATATGGGAGAAGGCGGAGCTGCAAACTGAACTGGAAGCAGTAGATGAAACATTATTTAGATAAAACTAGAGAGAAAGGAAAAAAAATCAGGAGCCCAGTACCATTCTCCTGGACTCCCTATTTCTGTGGGGCTGCAGAGAAAACAAAAGGGGCTTCTCTCTGCCAGCCCCGGAGTATCTGAGGCCCAAGTTAGACTGTGCTCGATAGCACAAAGGTAGTTTACAGGGCTTCCCAAACTATTTGATAGTTTGGGGAGCCAAATTTATCAAATTTATTTGATTGTTTGTTGAGTCAAATAAATAAATAAGTAATAAATAAATACGTGTATAGTTCATTATAACAGTTCTCTGAAGTCAGATAGCTAAAGTTGCAACCTGTATTATATTCTTTAGCTTTTATTGGATCTTTCTTAGTGTTTCAGATTTCTTAGAAAGTATTACTCCATAATTGAAGGAGATAGTAAAGAGATGACTGTTAGTTGAATTTGATGTTCCTGTGACTCTTTTTTCCTTTTTTTTTGGTGGAACTGGGGATTGAACTCATGTCCCTGCACTTGCCAGGGAAGCACTTGCTTCACTGAGCCATATCCCCAGCCCCTTTTTTCTTTTTTCTTTTCTTTTTTTTTTTTTATAAGAAAGGACTGTGAGACAAGTAGACAACTAATATCTGGAGTCTATTTTAAAAAGCAACTACAGGGGCTGGGGAGATGGCTCAGTGGAATGAGCACTTCTCTGGCAAGCGCAAGGGCCTGAGTTCAATCCCCGGTGCCACAAAAAAAAAAAAAAAAAAAAAAAAAAAAAAAAAGCAACTATAGAGCATACCATGGAGTCAGCAAGGAACTTGCCTAATTTCTAAGTTGTAGTTCTGGGTCAGGTTTCTTGATTGCAGTAATAACTCTAAAG